CAAACAAACAAGCAAACATAATTAATACACTGACCAATATCCCACACTACTACATGGCGTCGTGTTGTTTCTTCACAGGATCTAGACGTCCTGGACTCTGACCTGTTCCTGGAGTTGGAGGTGGTCATCGAGCACGGCCTGTTTGCTGTGGGCATCACCGTGGTCATCTGCGTCACTTTCCCGCCTTTTGTGGGCGTCCTGGTTCCCCTCATCATCATCTTCTACTTCATTCAGGTTGGACATTTGTTGTTGGCCGATCAGGAGAAATAAACGGTGAAATGAGGTGAAATGGCTATAACATGGTTTTTTCTTTAGTTTTGGAGTGGGATTTACGGCCCTCGCAACTGCCTAAGGTCATTTGAGTGCGCGTTGGGAATAAGTTTAATGCCCCAATCTACACGTGTAGGTTATTTAAGAGAGGGGACCTCCGAGTTTAACGTCCATCTCCGAAAGGACCGAACTAAAAAGGAATTTTTTTGTAAAGTGCCTCTCCCAAGGATGGGGATGGGATGAGATGAGAAGATGGGGGTCGGGGTAGGAGGGTGAAAGGGAGATGGGGCTGATTTCACTTCTTAAAAAAATATCTTCAATTATATAGATATACTTCTTTTTATAATCCATTATGTCGTTACGCATACGGCGAAGACCAGAACCTGTCATGTTTTATACCTCTGAGACAGCTGCAATCCCACTGTGAGCCCACGGTGACCCTAAGATGTTACAAGCTAGTTCAAGAATTCGAAATAATTCATGGCTAAACTTTACGTTTATATTTCTTTCTCCAGCAATTTTACATCCGTTCATCCTGTCAGTTGCAGCGCATCGCCTCCAACAACCGCTCACCTGTCTTTGCTCACTTCAGGTACATTGTAAATGGTGTGTGGTAATGCAGAAAAGGGGCGAGGGCAGAGAGGTAGATAGCTAGAGGCAGAGAAAATAGGGCAGAGAGGTAGATAGCTAGAAACAGAGAGAAAGAGGCACAGAGAGTGAGAGAGAGGCACAGAGAAAAAGAGTCTGAAAGAGAGAGGCAGAGAGAAAGAGAGAGAGAGAGA